GGAAAGCCGATCATGAGCAGAATTGTTGGTTTCCCTTTACCAGGATTAGGAGTTAGGTAATAGCCGTAGGTAAATCCACGTTTGGTTTTGATTTTATGATATAAAGAGGGATCCATGTTGGAAAGCTGAATTGGAGCTAGATAATCGCCTGAGAGGGCGTCCTTTGAGTCTTATAACGACTGAAAAGCCAAGAGTGCTCGTAGTTTATATCAACATATCAAAAATCAGCTGGCAGTGCTACAGTTTCACGACCTGTCGACCCTGAGAATTTCTGAGCTTATTATGAGAAAACGCCATGCATAGAGTGTATCGAGCAGGTGGTAGTTTCTTCCATAAGATGTCTCCAACATCGACGGTGAGAATTGAATCCAACTACAGAAATGGATGATCTTGGCTCACTGCATAATTATAAGCCTGATCGGCTAGTTACCTATAATCATTCCATGTTGGACAGGGTAGTAATACTAATATTAAAGGACACTGAAGAGATATAGATATCCGTGAACGACCTGAAAGATGCGACTGCGCAATATGAAGACATGTGAACATTGATGCCGCCCGCGGCGATTTCGAAAGGTATTTGGTAAATTAGGCGATTCCAAACTAGCATTGAACTTCAAAAGCTGATAAGCTGGGGCCGCGAAGTAGATTTGCTACATGTATGTCATAGAAAATGTCATAGCTATGTTACAGAGTCTTCACGTATCAGACGCATATATTTACGTAGTCGTTCATTGTCAATCGTTGCGTTCGGATAGTGACCACTGGAAATCTGCCCAAGAAACCAGTGTCATGGCCGTTCTTGAGCTTGGATTGGAGAGGCACGTTGGTTACTACTAACTAAAGCTGAGATGCGAATTCGTCAAGGACTACGCTCAGTTCATCAGGCGCTGCTATCATGACCCAATGATCTGTATCAATCGGTTTTACTGTGAGATTCGAGGCATATTGTCTCATGATTGCCTCGTTTAACGATGGAAGGCAAATATAATCCTTCGTGCTCGAGACGAAGAGGGTGGGGACCTTGATCTTATAATTCTCCAAAGGAATACCTAAGAACACGAAGGATTTACTCACATTAAATTCATGGAATAAGAGGAGATCACGTACGAGCATCGTCTTCATTATCAAGAGCCCGAACTCGAGCAGTGTACCAATTCAGTGGTCCGGTAAACCCTCCATGCATAATACGAGCTTGGTGTTCGCGAGATTTCTAGGATAAAGTCCATGAATAGAAAGAAAAAAAAAAGATAAATTGGATGTCGATAGCATTACCTCTTTAGTCATATACGAAGGTAGACCGGATTGTTTATTGCCTTCAAGCCATTCCCTGATCTTGCCCCGAGGTGCTACATCCGTCAACCATAATTTAGGATCTTCTGGGAATAGCATCGAATAAAATGAGTCGAGCTTAATAATTCATTTTAGTGTAGATTTAATGCATATGTCAGCTTGTATGTGGTACTCACGTTTGTTTCAATTAGCTTTGGGGCGTCGTCAGATGCAAAAAATTCCCAATACCCAAACACGTCAGACCCAATCTCTTTCCTATTCTGTTCAATAGCCTGCTCCCAGTCCCATTTCGGATTTGGAGGGAAATACCCTAAAGATAAGAAGGCCATGGCCGAAACACGTTCAGGAAAAAGATTAACGATGCGTGAGGCTACGATGACGCCCCTGTTTCTGACGATAAGCTTGCTGTGTTTACACCATCAAGTATGATAGCACACCAATCATGAGATACTACGAAGGCTGTCTTCGTATTTTCTTTATCGAGAATATCGATGATATCGTTCGCCATCGGGCTAGCCCTGTAGGCATCCGCATCATGAGGTTTGTCGGTTCCACCATATCCAAGCATGTCTGGAGCTATCACGCCATAACCTCTTTCAGTCAGATACTTGAATTGCGGAGCCCAGTCTTGAGCTGTCGAAGGAAAGCCAATAATGAGGAGTACGGTAGGTTTTCCCTTGCCTGGATTAGGAGTGAGATAATACCCGTAAGTAAAGCCCCGTCTGGTTTTGACTTTATGATACAGAGAAGAATCCATTTTGTTGTAGACGAGGATGGCGACAACAAAAGCGCTTCGTGAGAAGAGTAAAAGACCAGATGTCTTGATTATAAGCAGATGTCAGCCGCGCTATAGAGTTAGTAATCATGCATCCGAGCCGGGGATTGCTGACAGTGTGACTATGCTTCCCAGTGAGAAGACGACGTAGGCTTAGCGCCCGGATGACTGTAAATTACATAGTATGCTTTGAGATAGTACAAACCAATGATAGGTACATTGGAGTCGTGGCGTGTATGATATAATCCCAAAGTTGAAACTTGACATGGAAGAGACTGAAGCCACATTTCCTACTTTCGGTGGGAATGCACTACACACAACCTATACTTACACTGAAAGATCCATTCCATATATGATCCTGGCGACTCAGGTGTTTGGCTCATGCGACGTCAGAATCATCGAAGAATGTAGACTACGATTTGTAGTCTCGATGGAAGCATCGTAACGCTAGCAGTCAGTGTGAGCTCTGAACCAATACAAACTGTTGGATATGTCGACAATGTTGGAGGTACACTTAACGTATAGTACTGCATGTGCCTATAGCATAGAAGGCTCATGCTCTTAGCTCTAGAAACATTCATGATTGTACAGTGCTTATCTCTTCCATCTAGCGATCACCTTAGTTGAGAATTATTGTAGAAGAAGAGATGGTGGTAAGAGTTGTTGGAACTACGACTAAATAGTAAATAAGCACAACTAAGCAACTTACGGCTGATTGGCAACAACCTCTTTTACTAATAAGGAAATTTTCGAATGGTCTCTTCATCTTTGCTTAGGATTTCTTCTAGCTCCTTCCACCTGATTGCTTCCACGATGCTAGAACTCTGCAAATATATGTCTGTCTTAGCAGCCAACTAAAGACGATGACATCGCTATTTCCGAACTTTCAGCCTCCAACCTTGGCCAATGACAATGATAACCGCTGTAACGTATTACATTTGTTTGTTTCAACTGAGATTGAAGCCTGTTCGTACTTCATTACCAATTACAGGGTCTTTCCACAAACCATTTAGTACGTCTCATATCTATAACAGTCTGTGTTCCGAGAAAAACTGCTTTTTTATTTTATCTCACTTCGTAGAAAAGACCTGTCTCACCGCATCTTAAGAATAACTATCATCATATTACAACCCGCACAGGTCAGTGGGATGATGCATCTACAGCAATCCTGGACCATCACAAGTATCGTCTCAAGCGACACCTGCTCAAACTCATGTATACAGATCCTTGCACACCTACGCACACCTTTACACGCACGGAACTCAACATGCTCATACTCAAGCGCAGTCTCCTTATTACGGCGGGAGATACCTATCCACGTCTAACTTTTCGTTCATGAAATGCATACTTTCTATACAACGCAAGCTGCTGCTCTTCCTCGGCCAAACCCTACGTTTAGATTGTTATCTCGCATTTATCCTTTAATGGTCCGAACCTATTTCTAGCTTCCTATTTTCACTTTTGTCAGGCAAATCCTTGGGCTTACAGGCAGCACTTAAAGTGTACTTAACTTCTTGCGCACATGATCTTGTTTCATCAGCATTTATATACATTAGCATATTTTTTCTTAGATCCTAATTATCAATTTATTGGTCTTAGAATCTAGAGCTAGCTTGACTCCCCGGGTGCTGAAACCCCATTTAGTCGCCCCAAATGCTTGACTATAATTTTTATATACATATAACTGCTGTGTCGTCAAATATTTCTCCATCGTGCAAAGCTTCTACTCATGAATGGAACCCGAACCTTCGGCGGCATACTTAATGTACAAGATTTGGCAGTAGCTCAAAAACCTTTGGAAGCGACCCACCCTATGGGGTTTCCTATGCTAATGCGTCTTCCATCGTATGAATGTTCGATGAGTCACAGTTATCCAGTTTATAGTGCGCGTTCTCATTCACGAGGACACAGATGGCATACCAGGCTGAATTGCACCAAATAGTCAGGAATAAATTTCAATAATCACGAGTGGGTTATTTCCGGGAACTTCACCAGCATTAGATGCAGATCTGGGGAAGTTCATCGTATATATTCTCTACTCCAATTTCTATGCATGCCCGCATTAGAGTTCTTGTTCAAATACACCTTCTTCGATTGGAGGAGATGCGATAACATGAACTGACAGTACAACCATCACAGCATCTTACTAGTAGGTGACTATAAACGTTGGAGATTTCTGCCACAGGCCCACAGCCTACTGGCTCGTCAGTGAGATATTAGACGAGCAGTGGTATCCTCTTTAAAGATGGTATACGGCGTCCCGCAATATTTCCTTGGCTTTCCTGAATGTGTCAAAGACACAGAATGAGGACCATCCCTAAGCTCATAAAAGAAATAGGGGTCACTGGCAGGTTTAAAGTAACATGTCTGGAATAAATTTGGACTACTATTTAAATATAGAAGTGAGGCATTCAACTGCTCGAAGAGCCCTGTAATAATTCAAATGTGGTTCACCAGGCCATTGATCCTAATTTGAGGTGGGTGACATTCATTCAGTACGAACTAGTCGACCTACTTTTTGGACAAAACGCCAGCTGGAATGGCCGAGTCGTTAAGGCGAGTGATTTGAATTCATTAACCCCCTGTTTCCCTATCACTTGGTGTTTCACCGCGTAGGTTCAAATCCTGCTTCCAGCGAATATTTTTTCTTTGTTACAATTTTCGAAGATGTTTTGTTTCGTCGTACAACCTTTTTATTCATCGAAGAATTTCACTAATCGATGCATGATCTAATTATACTGCTATACACGATGAGCTTAACTGTAGCATTTCAGCACGCGGTTGCATCGTACAGACTGCGAACACGCGCTGTTGCACCTTACTGCAACGCGCTCAGTATGTATACCGTTGCCATCGATGCGGAAACGACGCAACCGCCTGTTTCTAATTCTATTTTAAATACCCCGGCATGAACTTAATGAAATTAGCGGGGTGGTATTAATATCGGAGGCTATCTTATAATAAACTGAGGCCCGGGAGTGGTAGTAATGGGATTATGGACGGAAGCAACAGCACTCTTCTGGTACATACATATGTATCCTCCCTGGAGTTACTGAACAACGAATACAAAAGCGACACGACAGTCTGTATGTCACGCGGCTGCATGCACGGGGAAGACCCTCGTGAACTTCCTGTCGAGAAGCTTGACGACAGTGGGCATGACGTTCACAAGTTTCCCTGGGGTATATTCGGTATCGATATTGGAATGGAGTCCGAAATTATCAAGTGAGAGTGGAGTCAATTGTCCCGGGCGGGGGTAATTATCTTGGATAATTACCTGTAGTATCATATCGATGAATTTACTTATCAGTACTGTCGGTGACGTGATGCATCACGAAACAACGATCAGCGTGCAAGAGATGGCCGAATCATTGAGGGCGGGTGTGAGCACTGGATATCAGAGATGGTGTCCGCTAAGTGCGATTCTGCGAACGGGACAAGGGGCATTTCGTCAGCGCTCATCATAAGCATAGCCGTACCGGAAGGGGTTGCATGGTGTGCGTTTCGACAGGCAGGTTTGGGAGGGGAAGCCGTAGCAAGAAGAAGTACAGGAAGCTCAGTGTGAATAACCGAGAATACCGCAGAGAGGGTCTGAGAGCAGCAACGGGCGAACGTCGGTTGAGTGGAAGGAGGGGAGGAGGATGGGAGGACGTGTGCAGCCATGTGTCGCGGACCGGTGTGGCCCTGTGAAGGGATCAGCAAGAGTTCTGGGCGAACATTCCATTTAAATCACCGGAAGATGCCGAGGCCATATATGCAACAGCCCCACCTGGCCACCCTTGCCTTGGTTTTGCTCACTGTGTCCCGTCGTCAACCAGCCTCTTCGTCGTCTTCGTCGTCGCTCCTCTTGCCGTCGTTGTCCCGCCGTCGAGCTCGACTCACGCATCTGCTAACATGATGCTCCTACGCCTTCCAAGCAGCGTGCACATGGCTACCGTCGATCTCTCGCTCTCTGTCCCCTCCTCTTCCATCCTCTTATCGCTCCTCGCTTCCGTCGTTCTCCTCGCCGCCATCCGCGCTGCAGTGATCTATCTGCGCCCTCAAGGCCCAGCGCACGAACAGCACTCGGAGAAGCTGATCCTTGCGCAGGAACAGGGGCACCACCCGCTGAAAGGGAGCGAGGGTGGGAATACTGGGAGCGAGAGGCCTACATCATCGTGGGGCTGGGGATTCCTTACATGGGAGAGCCTCCCCGCTCTGCCTGTGTCACTCACCATGTCGGAGCATGGTGCGAAAGGAAGGGGAGTGGGATTGGGTGCAGGCTCTATGCTTGCGAAGCAGCAGCAGCAGACGCAAAATATGCAGCAGCAGTGGCAGAGGAGAGGACCGGCTTTCGAAAGACCATGTCCGTATCCGTTATTCTCGTTACTCACTGCACTTCTTGGCGACTAACGCATGTGCTGTGGACAGTGCCAGCGCTCTATCAAACCGAAGTTCCCGCATCAATGGCGAAGATGATCATGTCCAGACATGTGCGCCCGCATCTCTCCTCATCTTGCGCCCCAACTAACGTTTATCCCTCGCACGCAGACCTTCAGGAGACCTGCCTCTCGCCCGCCACCGCGCTCCGCGACGACCATACCCCCCATCCAGATCCAGCGACGCACACCATCGATGGTCTGATGCTCTGTCGTGTATATGGCTAGCTAGAGCCGATGCCCATGCTAGCTCGTCTGTAGAGAGAGAAAAAAAAGCATATCTAAAAAGACACTACTCGTTCTCTTGGTCTTCCTGGTCTCGCACCTCTGATTGGACTAGACGATTGTTTTATCATTATTATACTATCAATCCCCCTCCCCTCCCCCTACCATCATCATCCTCCATCCGCATCACCCGCATCATTCAAACATATTGCATTCACGTTCCCGTTGCATAGTACCTCACCCATTCGCCACCCGTTACGCGGGCAGCTCCTGCGCTACCCCATTCTCCCCATCCAGCGAAAGCTAAATTCAAACCCCCTATGTATAGGCTCGCCACACCCGCGGCGCCAGCCTAGAACTCGTCCATCATCCATTATCTTTAGCGAAGAAAGAAGTATAAAGAGAAGAGATAAGAAGACTACCTCATGCTGCACGCCCCCTTACATCCAATCAAGAAACCCGAGAGGATGGACAAACGACAGAACGAACGAATAAAGACAAATCAATCAATTATCACGTACGCTATTTAGCATGTCATGCACGGCCACGACACCCTCTACGCTCTACGTCCAACCTTTCCCCCTCGTTTCTACCGCTATGCTCCTTCTGCCGTTAGGTCCCTTCTATTGCCTTGCCCTTCCACCTCAGGCACGGCGTATCTAACCTCCGTCTATGTGAAGGGCCTTGCAACGGATCACTCGGCTTACGGCACCTCGCTATCAGCATACTACCTCCCCATATGCACCTCCATGCGACTTTTTTGGCGCTTTGAGGTCGAGATGAAGCCGCTTTAGGCCCTCCCTCTGCTCCGCATATATGGCTTTGAAGATCTATCAGTGCTATGTCAGTAGCAGCGGGAGCGATGGGAGCGCATTCACCTTCCTGCCATCTTCTACCGTGGCAGCCTTATTTTATCCTACATCGTCGTTCTTCACCCGCTCCTCGGCTTTCCCCTCCTATCAACGGAGCAGCCTCTCTTAACCCTCTTGTTCTCAACCTTCACCCCTTATTCGTTCGTCGACCCATAACATATTTATTTATTCGACTTTTGTTTGGACTTATTCCCTTTTATTTTTGGATTCACCTTCCTGTTTGTTCGTTTGACTTATTATTTCTATTTCTACCTTTACCCTGCTTGTTTGTTCCTTTGATATTGTGGCTGCTTCTCGTAATGCTCGTCGCTTGTGTGAATGTAATTCTGCTTAGTTCCTCTGCTTCTTGTCTGTACTCCTTCAGCCTGCTGAGTCGTTAGCGAGAACTGCAATGGAGTAAAAATGACGCGTCCCACCACGTGCGTAATGCATTCACTAATCGCACATTACAACCGATCCGCTGAGATAGTAAATGAGTCAATACACAGCAAGATAGATGATTACATAGGTGCACTATGATATGATGAAGACCTCTCATGTCGTTTCGGCATTTCTACACGAGTATATCTCGAGACAGTACAAATGCAGCGAGCTGGTTCAAGTTACATGTTCCAGTTATGCCACATGCAAAATGATACTATGTTTTTCCCTCGTTAGGTCTAACAATCTTGAACTAGTAGCCTTACCATTGGCATTATACATTTACCTTGGGCCTTGATATATTGTGGTGCTAATTCGCGAGAGCTGTTGATGTCAATCTCTCTATCGTTTTCTCTGCTTCTACATATCGGGCAAGTACGTATTATTTAGTGACATGTGGAACGCTGCAGAAATAACCTCCAACGAATGCCCAGCAGTTTCAGGGATCGCAAGACAGAATGCAGCTCCCAGGAAACACAAAACAGCGAAGCTAAATATAATCGTTCCTCATGGCTACAACGTTGTTACACAACATAAAACAGCTCTTGAGCTACTTAGCGTCCGATCTCTTCTCTGTCGTCGTTTGCTCATCATGGCCACAACGACTCCGAAATACAGTCAGCGAAGTGAGATGAAAACAGCCAATATATTTGAATAAGCATTGACAAATTACGGTGTCAGCCCCCCCTACTAGCATCAAGGATGCTGAGCGAAAGTTTTGGACGATGTACAATGAAGAAGCGGAGAAACATGACGAAGCATTGACGAACATCTGGACGGGAGATATGGATTCCATACTCATTTTCGTACGTTTCGGATACTGTCTACCGTGTTAAAATTAACGGATCTGGCAGGCCGGTTTATTCTCTGCAGTGCTCACAGCATTCATTATTGAAGCATACCAAAAACTTCAGCAGCAATCTGGTGACCAGACTGTTGTTATCCTGAACCAACTTCTTCAAGTACAGACTTTAATGGCTACTGGTAACAGTTCTGCCATTTCTTCAATGGTTACAGCCGGAAATCCCCCTAACGATTTCAAGCCATCGACTTCAGTTGTAGTCTGCAATGTTTTATGGTTTCTTAGTCTTTCTTTCAGTCTTTCATCAGCGCTAGCGGCCACCCTTGTACAAAATTGGGTTCGCTCGTACTTGCAGGATATTCGTCACACATCTCCCATTTTGCATGCCAAAATACGGATCTATCTCTATGATGGGATTGGTGATTTCAAAATGAGTGGAATAGTGAGCGCCGTTCCCACGCTCCTCCATATATCCCTATTTCTTTTTTATGCCGGCGTAATTGCTTTCTTCCATGATATCAGTGCAGCCATCTACGGTCTTCACATCGCTATTATATCCTCTCTTCTGTTCACTTATGCCATCGCCACGGTCCTGCCATTATTCTACAGGAGATCTCCTTTCAAAACACCGCTGACGCCATTTTTCTGGTCTCTTACTGGGTTTATCCTCTCAGTATTTCAGATAAATCGTAGTAACAACGATGATGCCAATAATAAAGAAACAGATCCAAAAGAAAGTCTCCTGCAGGGCATAAAATCTCGATTTTGCGCACGATATAAAGAAAGTCGCCTCGACGCAGCGGGAGAAGAAACTGACGATAACAATAAACGTGAAAGAGAGGCATTCATATGGCTTGCTAGCACTTGCTCTGATGATAGAGAATTGGAAGATTTTTTGGA